TCTTCAAAGAATCATACACTTTTATTTACAATATAACCGATAGATTTTTGCCTTATTTTAAAAAATGCTTGAATTTATAACAGAAGACTTCTCGAAGGAAAATTGAAAACACTACGGATATTCTCCAACTATCTATGGATAGAGGATCCTATCTCAACATCTATGAATTATGATGATAGAGAAACAACTGATTACCTACAGCAAGCACACTTATTTCACTTCGTATGACTCTCCTTTCAGTCGAGGGAATGATTTCATTCAGTAATGGGAAAAATATTTTTTTCTCGTAAAAAGCCTTCTCCTGCTGAAGAAAAACCAACTCAAAATTTCGAAAAACTCTCCCTCGGACAAAAAGACTGCCTTTTTCCATTTCATTTTTGCATCATTTAATATGTTGTTTTGAAAAACAAAATATACCAGAAGATGCAGCATGAAAAGCTCTAAAACCCACAAAGTAAAGTTTATTTTAATTGTGTATTTTTGTTTCAAAAGCAAAGCAAAATTCTGTGCAAACAATTTTCGACACTGCGAAAAAAGCATTTTTTTCTATGCGAACGAGAAATTCCTTTTTCTTTATTTCAACTTTTTATGAGTTAATATTTTTCCGTAAAAAAAAATATACTGTGAAATACAGCGTGAAAGCCTCTACAATTTACATAGGACAGTTTATTGAAATAAGAAAAAATGAATTTCTCGTTGGTGTAGAAAAATAATCCTTCCGTAGCGTTGAAAATTAGTCGAACACAATTTTGCTGTTTTCGAAAATGAAAAGTACATAATTGAAATAAGCTTTACTTTGTCGATTGTAGAACTTTGCACGTTTCACGGTTTTTCTTGAAAATCAACGTTATATTGTAATCCTTCATTAAACGAAATATTCGCGGATATTCTCAGAACACGTCCTAAATCTTATAGAGATATTTCCCTAAGCACATCTGTAGCGAACTATTCAGAATAACGTCTAGTTGTTCGTTGGCATCCCTTTGAGACGCTACTCATGGCTAGCCGCTCACTTGCTAAAGTCCACTTCTTCAAAGAATCNGAACGAAAGGTCTATGGGCCCTTATCTTTTTGGGGTTTTTCATATCTTACTGGGATCTACCTTATGCACAGAGTTCGAACTCAAAACCGATTAATCACTTCGGGTACCTCCCTCGTTAGTCACTGAACTATATGAAAACAAAAACAATGTCGATTGAATCGGATATTCTATCATGTCACTCGAAAAACACAAATAGTCCAATTAAACTTAAAAATAGTACTAGATGAAAACTAATGACAGAGATCAATTCGAAGTTCTTTATACTGAATTTTCAAGGTTACCAATTATTTTCAGTTCTTGTTTGCGAACTGAAAGAAGATCCAAAATCAACCAAGAAAGTATGTTGCATATGGATGTGGTGAAACAATTTTGTTTACTGCTGAGAAAATATTTAAAAAGATTCTTGTATATTGTTGACAGCAAATTTTATGCTAATGGTGACAAAGTTCATGAATGATACAAAAAGAATTTGAGTTTGTCCATTTCGAAATTCAAGGGATTCAAAGTTATTGATTCATTGAATCCAACCAATTATATCTTATAATAGAACAGTTTTTATCATCTGGTAGTATCATGAAACTTGCGTATTCGTCTGAAAAAAAAAGATCACATAGATTTGAATTTCAAAAAAAAATTTAAATGAATTTTTTAGCAATCATTTGTCAGAGGACGGTGATAAAATCTTTCGGTCAGAAATCTTGTTAACAAATACGCACACAACATTGATTAGATTTATTCAAGTTTGGATTAATTAAATTCGAACAACATACGCATTAGTAATATTTGATCACATTTGTTTAATTCAAACACTCAAGAGAGAATGGCAGAGACAGAAATGCCTGATCAAGGAGAAAACAGTGATCTATGATTTTGTGTAATTTCATGTAGTGTGGATGATTCTGTTATAAATGAACAATTAGAGTTATTTATGATTATTATCTTGTGTGCAGCATATAGTTGAAATTTATACCGTTCATCTTCAGTTTACGTAGGTTAATGATGGCACAGTAGCTAGAATACTAAGTTAGTCCATGAGAAAAAGCTAAGTATTTTCGTCTATAAATGTCATATTGATATGATATTGTTTATATTGAATATCCGTAGATTAAAATAGATATTTTATTATCTTCTTCTTCCTACATATTCGTTTAATCAAAAAGAATTATTATCACCATAGGCGACGCAATATAACATTTTTAGTGGAAGAAATTGCTAGTTTTTGTAACGCTAGCATGCCGCACATGATTATCTCTGCATGGTAAAATACATGTTACTTCATCATGTGAAATATTGCAATCACAAGACACACCTGTTATTTTTATATCAAATAAATAATATATTGAAGCGAAAAATATACAAAAAAGAAAATCATTGTTTTTCTTTGACCCTATTTAATCGATCAGAAGACATTATATATTCAGGTTTTTTGAAATACCAATTTGTGGTCCACTTGATTGCATAATCATTGTACGATTTGGCGTACAATAGTTAGACAGCTGTACATAGTTAATAAAAAGATTTCTTGTCTACATGTGACAAAGATCATAATTCGCTAGAAAAACATTATTTTCAATGACTGTATAAATAACTTATGTATGAACAGAACAAATGAATGATTTATCAATAAACAATGTCATAACTCAATCAACAGACATGTATATATAATATATGAAATAAGTAGTGCTTAATATCATAATGACTTGCAAATTCTTGAGACTTACCTTCGATTTAATCATTTAGATGTGAATTAATGTTTGTCGATGTTTTAAAAATCTCCTTTACAAGGACAAAAAAAAACAAAATATTCTGTCAGTTCTGTGTTTGCATTCCTTCTTTCGTATGCTATGAAAATTTAAAAATTCTTCTAAAGTGACAGCAATCACAAACATATGCAGTGTAATATATATTACTATTAAGAGATCATTTTTTGCTTGTATTTCAAGGACTTTTAACGATTTTCATTTATTTCGATAAAATCAATTGATATATTTAGCAATAAGCTTGTACTAGATAAAAATATTCGTATGTTCATCAAGAGAAAATATTGAACTGTTATATAATTTATATTAAATAATACTTTATTTTCTAGATTACTTATATATCAAGATGAATCAATGGATGGAAAGAATTTCAGTTCTATTTCAAAGGCAATTACGACTTCGATATATTAAAATGATGACAATTATTATTATTGGTTTTATTCTATATTTTACAGTTATATACACATTAGTTAGATTAATCATTTATCCTATTAAACCTACTGGGACTAATTCTTTGAGTATGACAACGACTAATTTTTAAATAAACTTCTATTTTAAACGATATAAATGAAAGATTTTTGTTAACAAATAGAGATACTTTTTTTTTTTTTTATTTAGTTAAATTATTTATTCAGTTGAGATATCACAGTAAATCAATCATTTCTTTTTAAAACAAGAAAAGTTACTGTTTTTCCTTGTCGTCCACCAAATGACATTGTTGGTGTTTCAATTTCACGTTCTAATGAAAATTCTAAAAATAGAAAATTTTTATTGTTTTTTCTTTTATCAAGAGAAAAAGAAAAGAAAATTTACTTGACTGAAAAATTTCTAATAATTCATTTCGTGTCCAATTACACGAAATAAGAAATAAGAGATTTTTTATATGTCGATGAACTGTATTTACATAGGCTTCACATTTTGTTTTTCGTTGATCAGATGAACATAAAAGTATAGCATCTAATGTTCCTTTATCAATACCAATATCAAAATGATCAAGTGATGATGTATCAGATGCAGTCATATCAATGACTTGAAATTGAATATTCGATCCAATTTGTGTACGAGCTAATTCAATAGATTTTTCAGAATAATCAATACCAGTTAAACGAACAAAACCACGACGTAACAAACGTTGAATAACATGACCATTTCCTGATCGAATATTTATTTGATATAAAAAAAGAATAAAAAATCAGAATCTCTATTAACCTGTGCCAATATCTAATATAGTTGTTGTTTCTTTATCAGATACTAACTGACATACAGTATCGATAAGTTTGGTCAAAATACTTTTACCAAACCTGAAAAGATATTATGAAGGAAATTCATATAAAATTTCAAATTAACATACCAAATTTCTCCTTCATCACCAAATTCATTAAAATTATTTAATTCTCCTGCATATAACGTATCCCAACTAGATGATATATATGTATTATAATCCATTTAAAAATAAATAAATACACGATTTCATTACTCACTATTCTTTTGTACCAATTATCGATTCATCATCTTCGTCACTCGACATTAAATTAATTCTAATCTTCAATAGAAACAAGAAAAAGACAAGAACACTCATACTAAAACTCATTTATTTCTAGTCAACAAAAAATGTTTATTCCCATTTTTTATGCCAAGATACACGATCTAACAAATCACGTTTTAAATAAATATGTTCAGGTATTTCTTCTTGTCGTCGTTTCAATGCTAAAGCTTTTTCTTCACGTTCTTTACGTATTGGATCTTGTTGGTAAAGATTATCTTCTTCCTAAAATTAAAATAAAACAACATTTTTAATCAAACGAACAACATTTTTTTTTTATCAATTTACTTCCGTAAGATATGGTCGACTAAGATAAGCCATATTCTCTAATTCAATTTCAACACGTTGTTGCATATCACGTTTTTCACCTAGACTTAATGTGCGCCGAACTCGATGTTTTCTTTTAGAAGTAATATCACATTTGTTTTAGAGAATTTACAAAATAAAAAGACAAACCTACCCGAGTAATACATTTCCCGGAATACGTCGTGTTGGTATATAATTAGAAAACCGAAATTGTGAAACTTGTTTAAGTAAAACAATTGATAATCGCATCTTGAAAAAGAAAGAAAAATGAAGTCTTCTTTTTTTTTTATGTGTATTTTCAAATGAATATTTTTCTTTATTTTATTTTCAAAATAAAAAAAAACCATCATTAATCTTCTTTCGATGTTATATGAATAGTGTTATCTTTATTAGATCGCTCTTTTTCTTCTCGATTTCCATATTGATGAATTGATCGTGTTCGTCGATGATAATTTGTTGATAAAAATGTTTTTAAACTTTGATATTTTTCTTTTAATAATGTTGGTGGAGGTTTTTCGCGTAATTTTTCACGTAAAACACTTAATGTTGTTAATATATTGCCCAAGAAAAGCACAAAAAATATTATTGCTAATACCATTACTTGCCATTCATGTGTAGTTGATACATGTGCTAATTGCCATAATGAATATGCATTATATAATTGAAATAAATAGCCAAAAAGAAGAAATGGAACCAAAAATGATAGACCACCTTGAAGAAAATAAATCAATATATCTCAAATTATTTCTTTATTATTTATAGCAGCTAGCTGTGGAAAAATCTTTCGATCATCGGAAAATTTTCAATAGTTTTCAAGTTATTAATAATTAGAGTATACGTTATTTCTACCTAGGTTCAAAATACTCGTAAGAAACTTGATTTGAGATGCTGGAATTGATCTCTGAAAGTATAGAAACTAAAGATGAAGCGAATTCTATGGTTTGATAATGCTGCTAGATACGTCGAAAGGAAGAGTAGCTATTTTTCTACAAAATGGTATATAGATCATTAGTTTTGTATAAACTGTTAACTAAAAATGAATTTTTTCATAAAAAATATCGTGAAGTTTTAATAACTTTATTGGCTTGGTATAAAAAAAAGCATAGCTACAAAGCGAATTGAGTTATCTCTCAATGATTTTTTTCCAGTAACGGGCATTTCTAATCCTATTAGAAAGGATGGCCGTACTTTCTATTCTACAAAAAATGTATTATATAGTATATTTAACTGTTTGTTTACGAAATTCTTGCAAAGATAAGTAAAAAATGTAAGCTTGCTCATAGAAGTCTGAAATCGAGTGTATATGTTAAAGAAAAACAGAAAATTACGTTAGGCATCAATCAACATTATAAAATTCATTAATTGCAAAATAGAGCTACCCAAAAACTGTGGGAGTTCTTCGTGCACTGACATAAATAGTCTTGCAGTTTCATATTAAAATATAGACCTAATAAAATTGAGCGTCTAATCTTCAGTAGAATTAGAGCTTCAGCAGTAATTGCACCTTTCTCGAGAGATAATGATTTTAGGATTTTAATTTTTGTTTAGTTTTACAGGACTTTGGACAGTTTTGTGGATAGGAAGCTTATCGATTCTCATAGATTTAAAAAATCGATAATTTCTTCTTTTCTAGTTGATGTACGTGTATAATGATATCATATAATGTTGCTGTAATGCTAAAAGCATAAGGGAAAGAAAATTTTAAAGGTTATAATCTATATAAAAATTTAGCCCGTATATATACAGGTCATGTAACCAAAATGGTTCATGAAACAAATTCACACGGTACAAAACCCTCACGTCTACATTCAATCTAAGAAGACTTTGTTCACCCAATATTGAGACGTGAGAAGATAATCACATGAATTGTAGCTTGGACTTTAGATCTGAAGCACATGTCAAAATCAAAATTACATCGAAACAAAACACTGTCTTCATGCCTTTTTCTCAGAGATAATGAATTTTAGATAATGTTGTCTTATATAGTGTTAGACAAAGACATCCGCAGTTCTCCTCTTTCAATTGCTGAAAACTGAAGCTCAGTAGCTGTTGCTATTGTCGAGTTATTGAGCTTAAAACTATCCTATGTAGAATGATGATTATGTGATGAAACCTAATTCATGACTAAATTTTTATTTGTTTAACTATCATTAAAATAAGAGCTGAGAATGCGCCAATTGACTTGGCCTCACTAGCCTCTCCTATTGTAAATGTGTCTGAATGATGTAAACTATCATAAGCATGAAAACAATCTGTTTTAACGTTCTCTCTTGAATATGTGTTCTACAGACATGATAATTAATAGTGTGCTACAAGAAGTCTTAGAAATATAAAATCAAATTTTTCACACCAAACCAGAGTTCGAGTTCTGTGCATGCTTAATTAAATATGTATCACTTCACCTCGCCCATAGTCAAATTCGAACAGATTCTTTTTTGTTATGTCGAACAAGAGATTCTTCTTTAACTTACGAAACATCCATCGATGAAAACCTTCGATAGTTATTTCCATATCATGTGTTTCACCTAATGCCCGTAATCGATACAGACAACCACGTTGATAATAAAACTGAAGAACCTAATAAGAAATAAAAAGCAAAGAAATTTTTCTTTTTCAAATCTTTAGTAAAAATTTATTTACTTGGACAAAACTTAAGTAAAACGAAAAAACAAAGAATTGCGTACGAAATGTATGATAAGATGCAGACTCAGGCCATGTTAATAAAATAGCTGTGGCAACTGTTGAGATAAAATGATGAGCTCGCCACCAAGCTAAAAGAAAAAAATATATCAATAAATGGATTATAAACAATATACTTTTCAATGCCTCTAGAATAGTTTAAACCACTTTTCACTTATTTAAAAACATATTTACTTCTTAAAGATTTTCGCATTGAGTTCTCTACTAATTCATCTATTTCTATTTGCTTAATTATTTATAATGATTTTTTGTCAGATTTATTACAACATTTTTCCTTAATTTGCTTCACTGCACATTTGAATCCTTGAATTAACGTGATTTTGCTTTAACTTTGGTCAAGCTTATCGCAGAAAACAAACTTTTTTTTTACATTGTGAGATTTAGTCAATTGAAATATCTGAGTTACTAGTAGAGACTGTCGGATCCAAAATTTTCAGATCTAAATCTAACTCGTCTCGAACTCAATGGAATCTAGTTATTGGTAAGTCAATGGCTTCTAGTAACGGATAATATGGAAGAGTCTTTATAGTAAAGTTTTACGTTCTATTAGTCATTCATTGATCCAATACGGCCATCGCCTTCATAATAATCATGATCTAAATTCATCAGACTACTATGTATGAGATGAAATTGTGCATGTCATAAATCGATCAAAATTTAAATAAAAGGGCATATACGATTAAGAATCAGAACGTGCTATTAAGCAAATAAAGAAAAAAATTGTTTGTGAAAATTCTAACCATGAGGTTGATCATTTGTTTACTCTAAAAAAAAGTCTATTTCAAGTATTTATCTACATGGAAATAGAAGTTTTAGTAGAGAATTAAAAGATGAATCTGTAAAAAAGTAATATTTTTTAAATAGATGAAACGGTCATCCAGCTATTCAAGAAATATTGACGAAGACATCTGGTCAAGTAATAAACTGCTTTCAAATGAGTCTTTAATCATTGGAGAGGTGCTATGGAAACTAAGAAAAGTTTAAAAGAATCCTTATTCATAAATTTGTCTTGTGAGTTTATGCCCATTTTAGTGTGCTTTTTTATAGAATACTATGGTCTCTCTGAGGTCATCTTCAATTTTTATCTGATAAGTATAAAGTTAGAATTTGACAATCAATTTTAAAGTTGATTTGAGGAAGATTACGGCATCTTATTAAAAAATCCACTAAAAATGACTATAATCTCAAGAAAAAAAATTCACGGATATAAATCCTTTTAAGCTGTCTATAGTTCTCGTAAAGTCTATCTAATATAAAATAAGACTAATCTCAAAAGTAAATTATCACTTGCTAAGGTTTTCACGTGTGAAAGTCTTTCTTTACGGACTACTCACGCAAATCTAAACAAAAATCAATATGTTAAACTTACGATTAATATGTGATCCATTGACAATTAAAATCGATTCTCGTATTGTCAATGTACAATAATACCAAACCAATAAAAAATGAAATAATGCATCAAATGCACGATAACGTGATGTTAATGACCAAATGACAAGTGAAGATACTAATGAAATACATGTAACAATAAATTTAAATTTTTCATATTCTTGTTTATATGTCCATTTATCAGCTTTATTTAATATTGATACATCAACACCACCAAGAATTACTCTTAAATATGAATCTTTACGTGGTAATGTATCAGCAACGCGAGATAAATATAGTGAATTTGTATTAATTTGTTCCGATATGAGATTGAGACGTTCAAGAGCAGATAATGTATTAACAATTTTATCTAATGATGGAGAAGAATTAACTGATGTTAATGGACGTGGTGTAGCCGTTGAAGGTATCGACAATGAAGATTTTCTTTTTCCGAGATTTGTAGCTGATTGAGAATTTTTTAAATTCGTTGGACTTAAATTTGAAATATTCTTTTTTGTTGTTTCATCTTAACAAAACAATAATATTCTTTTCAAACATTTAAGAATTATAAAATGAAGCAATAGATTTCTTGTAACAAAAAAAAAAGTTTTTTTTTAGAATTATTAAAATCTTTTTGTGGAAATCACGTAGTTTTTCGAGAAAAAGAGCGAGTGGAAGTTTACATCGAGACTTTTTCTGCTGCTTCAGGCCATAGCAACTGAGGCGAAATGAGAAAAGCCCAGGATTATTTGATACGTTTCTCTAGCAACAGAAAAAGGGATATCAGTAAAAACAATACTTAGATCACTCTGAAACTTTCTACACTCTTCCAAAGCTTTTTCAGAATCTAAAACTTCTACCTTCGATTCTAACTAGTCTAAATATTACAAGTTTTGGTATTTAATGCAGCGAAATAATCTTATCATAGATGTCAATTAATAGGGTTACGGTATTGTTGATCTAGCAAAGTAAGAATAGGATGGACATAGAAAAGTATAAACTCATTGAGTTCTAAGTTTAGGCAAAACTCAATTGTATATGTCAAAGCTCGTTGAGAGAAACGGTGATATACTCGAAAACTTACTAAACATTTAAATCAATGTGTCTAGCAGGCTAATATGGTAGTTGAACTGATGAAACGAAGAATAAAATTATATGTGCCGCTTTCTATGACATATAACGTATGTATCATCATTAGGAAAATAGAATTTATGCATTGAATATGTATCAGACAATACCAATAAGATTTTTCAGTAAAATGATGTTAAACGAATCCAATAATTTATTTTAAATGCAAACATTTTCGAAATGATAAAATTTCAGAGCGCAGATATCAACTAGAAAAAATGTCATAATTTAGATTTATTCATTAATTTGACATTTTTCAAATAAATTACTTTAACTCTGCTGAAATGTATAACAGTCAGAGTGTGAATTCTACACTTTTGCCTCTAATGAAGCCCCACTGACAAGCTATATTATTAGAAATAAATGCGAAAACATCGGATTTAAATCCGAGTGTTATGTGTACTTCAAAAAGTGAACAGGTATATTCACTTTGTTTTTTATCATCGGAGACAATATCTACCCGATTTGCTTTCTCAACTGTAGTTTTTATGCATTTTGAGCCTTTTTCGGGGGATTTTTTGTTAGAAAGCTACAATTTGATTCAAAACTAATATCAGATTCGGNCCCCTCAAAAATCGATCTTGCTTCGGATAAATGTAAATGTCATGAAATTTTCAGCTCTATAACATGATGTTTTCGGGAGATATTCAACTAAGAACAGTCAAAAATAGCACACTGAGCAACCGAAAATGATCTGTGGGTCTTCATTCTATAGATTTAATTATTTTTGTTTGAAAGAGCATGTCAGGATGCGAGACATAACAGAGTTCTTTTTTTCTTTTTGATTCTTACTTATTAAGGGGAGAAAAGTGCAATGTCCCTATAAACGGCGCTCTAATTATAAAAATTACTCTTTTATATAACAGTAAGAATTCTTAATTAAAAAATGGACTCTGTCATATCTTACAGTTTTACAAAGTCTTTCAAAGACAAACGAAAGCTATTGGCTACAATGAAGTTGCTTCGAGAATTCTGAGATGAGAAATCAAAAATAGATTAAAAGTTTTTCCACTTTATCTGAAAAAAAACGAAGTACCAAATACAAAGTCATGTTATTTATGAAAGATCGGATCTCGGACTATTATTATTTGAAGTTATCATCAAGAGAATATTTCTTTAACATATTACCGTTACATACATAAACAAAATTTGAAATAATTAAAAAGAAAAATTAAATATAAATTCTTTTTATCATTCCTAGTTTCTTCTTTTTTTTTTGTTTTTATTCTTATAATCGATATTTTATAAATAAATTTCTTTTATATATTCTGATGATGTTACTAAGAATAACAATGAAATACTAATACTCAATCAATGACTGGAATAATTCCACTATGTGTCTGTGACTGTTGTGTTTGATAATTACTCCAATTAGTCTAAAATAAATCGAATAAAAAACTTAAAATTAAAAGAACAAACTACATTTTCTTTTTAATTTACATTTGTGTCTCGTTTTTTTTCACTATTTTGTACTAATAATTGTGTTCTATTAAATAAATTCTTTGTTTTTTCAATAACTGTTTGATATGGTGATAAAGCTTGTGAACCCATAACAACAATGCCCTTTTGTGAATCGATTTTTGCATCTAAACTTGCATTACGTATTAAATTAACAATCCATCGTTCAGCTTCTTCTGTACCCATATTTAATTTTTCTGCTAACATACTAAAAAAGAAAATTAAATCATTAATTAAATGATTATATTTAAAAATAACATTACTCAATTGTAATACAATGATGTATACGACAAAATGTTTCGAATATAAGTAAACGAGCATTTTCCATAAATTCATCAGTACAACCAATAAGAAAAAAATCATTATTAAGTACAGCTGTACAATCACGTAATTTTTGTTGTGCACCATCAAAATCAAAATGAACATAAAGACATTCAAGAAATTCAGTTATTGGATCACGAAATGCATATGATTCCTAATAGGAAAAAAATTATATTTAAGAAAGAAAAAAAATTAATTTATCTATTTTAGTAGATTTTTTTAACCTGTTGAATAACTTTAACAAGTTCTTTTAATGTTCTTTCATTTTTTTTTCTTGGATTAATAATAACAGCTGCAGCTAAATAACGTAATAAATGTGGTGATGCTGTTTGTAATGTATTTAAATAAGCATTTGTTTGATTTGTTGTTGATGTTGCTGAACCAAGAAATAATTGAACAAGATCATCACGTCCTTTTGGATGATTAAAATAAACAAATAATGACCAATGAATAAACCATGTACGTTGATGTAATAAATCTAATGGTGAACGAGAATTATTTATTTCAATTGCTTCTTTTAATTGATTTAAATCATCATATGCATCATCCCAACGTTGCATTAAAATTTCTGATGCTAATTTACCCCATAGACATGACATCATATTTTTATCGGTAGTTGGTACCTTAAATTTTAATATTAATTATTATATTTCAAATTTTATTTCATACTTACAAGAGCACGATAGAGACCTAAATTTGTAGCTGCTCGAGAATAATCACCACAATCATAAACATAACGAGCAAAAGTATAAAGAGCATCGACCATACTTCGTTCAATCTAAGATAAAAAATATAAAAGTTACTATTCAAATCTTATGAATAGAGTGAAATCAAACAGTTGCGCGCTAGGGTACTTCCTTACTAAAGAAACTTTTGAAGAAAGCACAAAAAACAGCAACATTGAGGAAGAATATACTACTAGTAGTAGAAAGAGAATTTATAAGTGTAGTTGAATTATGTCTATAGATGTGTTTGATTGTTATTAGATAGTCCTGAAAGTTTCGAAGGAAATAAACATGTCTTTCTCGGGATATTCAATATCCAAATAGACTCGATTGGCGTGTCCTATTATAGTAAACTCCTGTGTTTTTAGATATTGAATATCTCTAGAAACATATGCTTGTTTCCTTTGAAACTTACAGGACTATCTAATGACTATCAAACGTACCAATAGGTATCATTTCAACTCGAAATTCTTTATTTTGGATTTTTTGAGAATACCTTGTGCCATGTGAAAGTTTCATTAAAACGACCATAACTCTTTAACAGTAAGTCATGAACATGAATTCTTTCAAGCTTTTCTTAGTCTTAACAAGACCTACTATTAGTAGCTATAATAGGAAGTCAAACAGCGTCCCGCAGTTGAGTATATTTCCTGATTAGAAATATTTAATCATATTTCTTAAGAATTAGTTTAATTGAACTCTTTATTCTTAAAGAAATTCTATTGATACGGAAGAAAGACATCGTGAAGTATGGTTTTCTAATAAATTATATTCAGATTCTAAAGTCGAATCTGTATTTTGTTAAAGAATTATTCACTTGCACTGAATCAATATTTTTATCAATGCTTATGTTCTATTGAGAATACTTAATATGTGTAAGGTTTCCTACAAAAATTAATTTTCTTGAGTTTGACTAATTTCATCAATTTCTTTTGGCTTATATCTACTCAGCATTGATAAGTGTTGTTTATTCTATATCGTTTTCATATTTGCTGAATTGAGCGCTTTAAAAATTTTGAAATTCTGCCGAGATAAAAATTTACATGAATATGAAATCTAATCTTTTCTATTGTCTCTTTCATATGCCATTCAATAGATATTTCGAATTTTTTGTCATTAATCATCCAACATAATTTGATTCTAACAATCAATATTACTTAGGGCATACCAAAAGCATTGCTTTTAACAGTTGAAATCCCAAAGGAAAGAGTTAATCAAGTATACAAGCTCGTAATCATGTTTAGTCACGCACAATCAATTCGTTTGAGGACAATTGTTGAAGCTATTTTTAAAATAACATTTAGTCAAAACATTCATCATCTTAACCACAACAGTCTGTGTAGAGATTATGAGCGGTTTGATTGATGAAGTTTATCAATTAGATTGAGCAGCTGAAAAATACGTAGTACTTTGTCTGTAGATTCCTTTCGTGTTGCTCTTATTGGAAACTTGAAGTATCTAGATTTCGATCAATTAAATGATTGAAATTTAAAAGGAATGACAAAAAGGACAAGGCGAAATTCATTATTACAAGAACTCTATAAATATGTTTCTAGAGAACACTGAATTTATCACCTATCTATTGATGACTCATTATCTATTTTCAAGTGTTCACGTAGTGTTGATTAATAGAATTAGTTTGTCATCATTTTAATTATCTCGAAGTTTGAAAAAAACGTTCAATTCATAAAAATTCGTCTTTCTGACTGATTTTCTCTAGGAAAATGGAATGTTCAGTTGAATGAAACTTCATCGTCATGTTTGAACTAATATTTTCTGACCTCTTATTTTCGAGATCATCACGACCGAAAACAATAGCTTTGGATGCGTACGTCTAGTAAAAAAACTCGCAAGGATCCTATAAATCCAGTGTGAAGCGATTTCAAATTTCGACAATAATATTTAAATCAGTATAAAAACGACAAATGATTTCATCTCGAATTGATCTTGTTCTATCGAAAGTTTTCATTATCGCTTCTGTTTCGCTGAAAACAGTCATACCACTTTTAGTAGTCTCAGTGAAAGGATGGAGGCCAAATCACTGTTTCACAGAATTCATTGAAGATCAGCAAAACATTGGTATCATCCCGAGACATCGATCTCTCTGACACAGTTCGAAAGAGTTTTTATTAACACAAAAAAAAACATACAAAGTATGAAGATCGACTGCGACTGAGTACAGAAATACTGCGCTTGGTATTGCAGTAAATATTAGCTGAGACAAAAAGCTTATATTAACTCTTTCTTATTGACTGTTATCTGCCAAAATCATTACTTTTGGTATATTCTCAGCACCTATTGAAAAATAATGATTAAAATTATCTAAAATATAATGAATTTTCAACTATGCGACCTCGAATTGAATTATTAAGTTCAAAATAAAAATTTTTACGTCGAAATAAATTCAATAAAATTTTTAATTCTACTAGACGAAGATATTTTGCAGAAATATAATTCAACACAATAATTTTCTTTTTTTAATCTCCATACGAAAATATGCAATGAATTTCGAGAAAATACATACTTATCTGAAAAGTTTTCATAAAATACTTACACCGAAGTTTTTTTGTAAGAAGTTTAATACAAGCATCGAATCACTATTTCTAAATAAAACAAAGAATGTATTTTGAATTTGTTTTTGAAAAAGACTATTTCGAAAACTTTACCGTTGATGTTCAATATGACGAGCTGCATCTTCAGTAACGACAGCATCAAGCAATGGTTGAACAGCTTGTGAAAGTTCAGTAAAACGAGATACAATTTCTTCACGTTTTTCAATTAATTCTAAAATAAAACAAAATTATATTTTTTCATTTATTTATATTAAATAAAAGAAAACCTTTTGGTTCCTCTCCATCAGCATGAAGTTTTTTATAAATATCAAGTTGAAAATCAACCATAGTTGTATGTTGTAATAAATCATATTTAGCTTGAAGAATTTCCTTTTCATCAAAGATCTAATGAAAAAAAAATGATTTTCTAAGATATATTGATTGAATAATTAAATTAATGTTACGTTTCGTTCAGTTAAAAATTCCAATAATGGAAAAACGAGATGACGATCGAAATAACGACCTAATTTTGCGGTTAAATCATATTCAGCCATCTAAAAAGAATATTCAATAAATATAGAATAGAAAAAGAGAATAATAACTAATGAGAAATGGAAAACGAAAAATGTGCATATTACTCTCATTGTTCTTTTCCAGAATAATGAGTCGTTAGATTGGTGGTCCAATCAATTAAAAAAACGATCATATAGTACTAAAGTGACGGAATTAAAGAAAACAAAAATAAATAAATACGATCTTTATTCATCGGTAAATCATAGTTTTGTTAATATATATATATATAAGTTTTCTTTTTTTTCCTATCATTGACTAGCGACATCTATTCAGTTGAATCGCTACGGATCAACGGGGTTTGCCGTAATCGGCCGTGTTTATGCCCTATTGTGTATCAATAATACGTACAATAGTACTAGTCGTATTGTCAATGTAAAATGCTGTAAGGATGTCCGAAGTATGCTGGTTCGTATTACATATACGACTACATTACTGAATGTACATCTGCTGAGCAATAAGGCGTTGCTAACGTGCCGTACGCGACTCAAAAGTATTTTGCTACTTAGAAATATTCTCTCGTTAGCTGCCATCTAATTCTTTCAATAACAATTCAGTTCATGAAATTCAAGAAGAGTTATAATATATAAGCTATTAAACAACTTGATGAGATTGCAAATAAGAACTAACAAATCATTGATCGTATAATTGCAAAAGCATACAAATCTATTATTTCTTACAATTATATTGTTACTCTATTCGAATGGCATCAATACAAAGAAACTACAGTTTAATCTCAATCAACAATCACAAAACACGTCAATCATCTCAATTTGCAAGCAGTGAATGAATTTGGGTAATACATTACAGGCACAACTCGAAAAGTTGAACAAAAAAAACAAATCCTATTTGCCATAACTAACTGAGCGTTTTGATAATGTTAATAATGAAGTTGGTGACGTTAAAGCAAAATTCAACGAGAAAATACACTTTGAATTTGATGTTCCACAGTAACAAATCATCGGTAAGTGCTATCATTGTCAAATTATTGTTTGTTCCATAATTATTTTATTTCGATTGACTTATTTTATTGAAATAAAGTGTGCAGAAATGAAAAGATCGCTTCATATAAATCTCACCTCAATTTTTGTTTTCTATCATGTTACAAATGTATTCCAAATGATATGAAAGAAAAAAGACTAATTAAATTTAACAGAAATATTCATTTATTCATCGGTTCACATTTGTCAAAAAGATACGAGAAATAGTTTGGCCTAGGTCAAGATATTTTACCAATATTGTTGTTTGTCCATCAATAGTTTTTAGATTTATTTTGCTGTTTCACCTAATATTTTCAATTTGTTCGTCTTGTTCTTTTACTAATTTTTTCTCAATAGCCTTGATCATTGGCATCTTGTTATTGTGTAGAGAAATTTCGGGAAAATGCATGATTCAATGACTAGAACAGAAGAGAAACGTACATTATTTTATCATCGACACGGTTAACCGACAGTATTTTCGTTCTTAATGATACTCATTGGAATTTTTCAGACTTCTAGAAAATGAAAATCGGTACAGATCAGAGCAATTCTCCTGTATGTATTAGGCAAATAGGGAGAGAAAAAGAAAATCCTCAGTGATATGAGATTTCTAGATCATAATTGACTATTTATGAAAAGTTTTATTTGTTATGAAGAAAAATAAAAATAAAGTAGTTTACAATAAAACAAATCTAAAATGTGATCAATGAATGTCTGCCAATCGCATAAAGCGACACTCCCTAAGATCAATTGAAAGAAAATCAATGTATACGTTTTATTTCGATACATATGTTTTATACGGTACACCGACAGTTGAGCCCTCATTGATTAATTACGAAAGAAACAAAGTCAGTATTCGATCACTTTGTTCGGCTCAAAATTAGTGAACAGATACAAGTCACATCTTCCTATGAGATTGATGACTCGCTATTAAATACTTTCATAGCTCAGTCAATAATCTTTACGAAAACAAATAAGTTTTTCGAATTATANGGCCGGAATACTGCCACCCAGTTCCGGCGACTTCCGGTGTTTTCCTGCAGGATACGGTGAATTTTCCCGCATTTTCCTGCCGGTTCCTGCAGGATCTGTTGTCCGGAATCATTGACCTGGGAGTATGTACAAAGAAAACGTTTTTTAGATCAATGGAAATTAAAAAGCAATATATATGCGAATGCGTCAGATCATGACGAACAAGAATATGTAATTGGAATTAATTTTTGTCCATATATTATGAAAAAAAAGGAAGTCCATAAAATTTGCAAATTTTGCATAGTTTTTGGGTTTTTACAGTTTTTGCGAATTTTCAGCTAAACTTGTGAGACCTATATCTCCCCAAATGAACGATATTAAGAGCTGATTTTTTTACCATAAATATAACTCATTGAGCTCTACAAGATAGGATATCTTTCGATCGATTCAGGCGACTTATGTGTTTTCGTGGGAGAAAGTCCATGGAAATGCCCATAGACAATCATTCATATCATTTGTACGAAATCGTACACAAAATCTCGACAGCGTTTCACAATGGCCTTCGACAAAAAATCTTGTCATCAACTAACTTCTTCCTTAACCATATGAAGTATAAGCGCAAACTTTGAAAATATCCAACTAATCTATGACGCGAAAGTTTTGGCACACATTTGATTTCTTAAATAATAGCTCTCCACCGAGATGTTAAATCATTCGATGATAAACTAAGAACTGATCGAAAAAAATTTGATAATATATGAATTATTTCTAAATGAGCTGATGTTTCTTCTATTAAATGTAGTGTTGACGATAATGCACTTGTATGGAACACTAAAAACAACAAATAAATCAATTAAGAGTTGTGCCATATAAACATTAAATCGAACATTTATTCGGAGACAATCGATCAATAGTGACCTCCGGATTCACATTTTTATGAACTCGGATCCGCATATCGTTATTAGATATGTGACAGCTCAGTTAGTTGACATAGAACTCTCACATATCTAAGCATTATATTAAAATGAAGATCATTTCGTTTATAATACAATTCGTATCTGTTGATTTTCAATAAATCTCCGTCTTCATATGCTTATGAAAACAAAATATAGTTTACTTTTCACCGAGTTTCCAACAAGCATCATTGATTGAATTATAATTCGCTTTACCAGGATTATATGATTGAGAATGAGTTATACTGAAATTATCTTAAAATATTCCAATTATAAATGTACTGCGAGAAAAAATTCTAAGAAACAAGAAATTCTTTTGCTATCTCTGTATGATAGTTATTGTTTTTTACATGTTACAGAAATTTTGTGCAATCTCGAAGGTTTCTTGAATATTCATGAAGTCTTTCTCAGTCTTATGAAGTCTCTCGAAGTTCTATGAAATCTCTTGCAGTCTCATGAAGTCCATAAAGTCTCACGAAGTCCGTGAAGTCTCTATGGTTGAAGTTCGATGAAGTCTTGGAGTCCCGAAGTCCGCTGTTTTCCCCTAGATTAGATATACGAACCAAGATATTCGAACATTAAGGTATTTACTGTACATATAGGTAGCTCGCAAATCAATATATTTTAAATTTGTTAGCTGCGTGTTAAGGGCTTCAATTTAAACGGAATACGTCTAATCTTTTTGATTTACAACACCAACACTTCCATTGTTATACAGTTTTTAATAAAAACATATCTTCTTTTAGCCTAAAAGTATTCAGGAGCATACAGTGTCTCCTACCTACCAAAAAAGTGTTAAACCTGTGACTTAAAGTGATTCCCGGCATTTGCTAATAAGATCTTCAGCAATTAGCAAAGGTACAGTGAGTAAATCAGCAAAATTCTATTGTGCTGTGATCAATAACTTGGGACAGATTTTATAGAACTTCTTTTTTATATTGTAAAATAAGTTTTACTTTTCTTGAAGGTGATTGGTCAGATCATTCTCGTTTATGGACTGCAAATCCTGACTTACGTAATAAATTACTTTAACTAATTAACCTTATTGAAAAAACTGGCTAAACTAAGGGCTGTAAAGTGCCTTTTTTCGTAGGTACCTGTACACAAAGTATTTTTCATACTCATTGGAGTAGTTCAGTAGAAAAGCCTCAAAAAGATCTTTTTGAGGCTTATCTAATTTTCTAGGTATTATCCGTACCTATTACGGTATCTCAATAAGAAAATTCCAAAAAAGAATGCTTTTGAAACTGATTGGTGATTTTCAAGATGTTATTCATACCTATGAGATTAGTGTTAGCACTAGTTATTTATTGTTTTTTAAAAAGATCAATCATAAGACGAACATAAAAAAGAGAAGGAGAAAGTACCAGAGAAACGAGAGGAAAGGAAGATATATATAGATATGTACGATAGATATCATCGAACGATGATCGCACCATATAGTATCATTGAACAATAATCATGTCATACAGTCAGTATCATCGGATGACGGTCATACCATATGATCAGTATCATTATGGTTGACTTCGATAACATCTTTTCCCTCTCAAATATGAACGTCCGCGTTCATCCTCATTTGAGAAATAATGCAAGTGAAAGTAAAAAATACAGAGCAGAAAAAATGAGATGATATTAACACGACGATCAACATGATGGTTTTAAAATGTAATATATTGATATATGCGCATTTTATGTAATTGTGCACTTATTGCTTTCAAAAGAAGCAAAAATCTGTGTGACCAATTTTGGCTGTTCGGAAAAAATGATTTTTTTCTGTAAAGAGAATTTCTTTTTCTTATTTAAACCATCCTACGTAAATTGTAGAACTTTTCACGCTGCATCTTGTGATATATTTTGTTTTTGAATGCAATCTATTAGGTGATTGAAAACTGTAATGCAAAGCGTAGCTATTTAATCTGCTTCACGTCAGCCATTAATGAAGTTTTACACAAAAACAGTTCTTATCTTCTATTATTTTATTATTATGATATTAGTTTAAGAATGGTCAAATATCACAGAAATATAGAACATTGTTTTTACTATCATTACATATAAAAAGAAAATTTCTTTCAGCTTGTT